AAGTAATAATTAAAACAAATAAATCCAAAACTGGAGTTCCACAGGGCTCTGTTCTCAGATCACTTTTTTTCACTATCTTCCTGATCCTAATTACTCAGGTTTATCGTATCATCATGTGACCAGACTGAGTCCATCAGTGAGCGGCCATTTTCTTATTAACGAGAAAAGAAAGCCTTTTTTTTGGTTTAAAATGTCAACAGGAATAAGATTCGGGATTTAGCGAGACTCCTTCCACCGATTCTTCCATCTCTCCATTATCTCTCCACTGATCTGATTCATTCATTCATCCATTCACCTAATTTTAGCATCTTTGTAAAGTTTCCAGCCTCCTCTGGTCCTCAGCTGCTCAGCCTGTTTTAACAGAACTAAATAAGTTTGTTTTTATGCTTCCTTGCTGCTTTATATCAAACATTTATATTAATGCTAAAGTTACACAGAAAAGACAGAAAATAACAGTTTATTCTTATCAGGTCTTAGATTTTATATTGAAAACGGTTTCTAAATGTTATATTAACAATATCAGTTTCAGCAGAAGCTTTTATTTTTATAATAATACTGATAATAATAACTACTTGTGTTTTTTTTCTAACTTGTTGATTTCCAATTAGAGAGTTTGGGTTTGTTTTTAACATTTATCTGGTTATTTATTTATTTTTTGTTCTTTGCTGTGTTTTGTGAAAAAAAAAAAGCATCATGATGTGAGTTTTCTGGCATTTAAATGTCGCCTTTGAAAGTATTCAGGCGTTAATGGCGTCCCCGTCAGGCTCTTATACCTGGATGTCAGTTTTAGTTCCTGGTGGGTCTTCAGGGAACAGGAAGCAGGTTGGTCTCCTTTAGTCTTCGTCCCTGAGAGACAACACGCCGCCGTCTTATCTCGGTCCCGGGCAGACTTTGCCTGAGTCCAAGGATTTACCCATAATCCTTAGCTCCACAGAACGTTCGCTCTCTGCCCACTGAAAGGGTGTTCAGTCTGAATCAGAATGAGGGCAAACGCTGAGAGTGAACACTTTAACTGTTAGTGCTTTCTGTCTTTGATTCCGTAAAAGTTCAAAAACAATCCACTGGACTTGGTTTCCAAGGTCTGAAGACGTTTCGCTTCCTCTTCAGGAAGCTTTCTCAATTAAAAATGTCTGGATCCGCAGTGAGTTTGAGGCTTTATAGAGACGAGGCCTTGCATCGCTTGGAAACATGCAAATTGAAACTTTCCAGCGAAAATCAGTTTTTGAAGCGAAACATTTTCAAACCATGGAAACCAAGTCCAGTGGATTGTTTTTAAACTTTTACGGAATGACTATGACCTGGATGACTGAGAATCTTCATCGGTATATCTGTCTTTGAATGTGTCACGCTGATGGTCATGCCACTGTTGTTCCCATCACTGACCATGTTGAAGGCTTTAAATCAGCCATTTAGCTG